TAGTTACTAGGTTTTTTGTTTTTTGGGTTTTTTTCCATTTGTACTTACATATTCTTTTCTCTTATAAAATCAATACTTTCAGAGATTTTTTTTTTTTTTTCCTGCTGGTATGAAAATGGAGAAGATTCACTGAAGTACAAATCTTCATTAGATGACAGTCATTCAGCAGAGTCATTGAAAACTTATCATGTGTCAGGCAGAGTTTTGGGCACTTATAATATGACACAGAGTCACCACCCTCATGAAGCATACCTTTTCTTGAGTGAGAGATCTGAAATAGCTGTGTAGATAAATACATATTTTAGATACTTTAGATAATGATTCATGACACAAAGAAAACAGAACAGCTAACAGATTTAAGGGTCGGGGGGATTCTCCCTAGCTATAATGATAATCGAAGACTTCTTTGTACCTGAGCTAAAACCTGAACCAGCATAAGATTAAAAAGCCTATCTTCAGAAAAATGCAGTGGTGGTAAAGTTACATATCTTTTTTTAATTAATTTATTTATTTGACAGAGAGAGAGCACAAGCAGGGGGAGCAGGAGGGAGCAAAGGGAGAGGGAGAAGCAGGCTCCCTGCTGAGCAAGGAGCCCGTTGCCCTACGGGACTCCATCCTAGGACCCTGATATCATGATCTGAGCCCAAGGCAGATGCTTAACCGACTGAACCACCCCCGCACCCCTTAAAGTTACATATCTTTACACAAGCATTTGTTCTATTTGGGTCATTAGTTTAGTGGTTTTCAAATGAAGAAAGAGGGGTAAGTAAGTTCTCCAGGTGATTTTGCTTACCTAGTTTAAGATTTACTGTTTACCTGGGTAAGAAGTGCCATTGATAGGTCTCTCATCATTGATCCTGGGTATTTCACAAGCACATCCTCTTGGAATAGTGACAGAAGTTGTTACTAGAGAGATATATAGCTGGTTCCCCCCAAATTTTCACAGTAGTTATAGCAAATAAGTAAATCCTCCCTTTTGAAATAGTATGATTATACACTTTATAACATCTTTTAACAAACATACTATAATTATATGCTATGAGTAAAACTAGTCAAATGAATTTGCCTAAGATCTGAATTTTATGATAAGAAGGTCCAATAATGTTGTGTAATGCAAATATATGTCCAAAAGGATATGGTATGCTCATAATCCTGGTATGAATCTAAGTCACTTTTACACTTTCTAATTTATATTTGATTTTTTAGAAACAGTCAAAAGTCACTTTAAAGTCTAGCCATAAACTATATAATGGAGAAGAGTGATATCTAATAGCAGAATGCCCCTAACTATCTCAATTTGAAACATATTGAAACTTATTTTCTCATGTAGTTCCCACTTTATTGATTGGTTAGAAAACATAAATATGTCCAAAGACACACTGAAATTTAGTGACAACTAGAATGCAAATTTCCAGTGCCATCTCCTATTCAGTTTTTCTAGTGTTTTGAAAAAGAAAATAAAGTGAGTTAACATTTAGTTTCTGACAAGGACATTGTTGATTAAGTTAACTTTTCAGAATTTTAGATTATTTTAGTCTGTACACATCAAAACCATTAAGTGATTTGTTTTTCTTTTCTTTTCTTTCTTTCTTTTTTTTTTTTTTTGTTCTCGTGGATCAAGTTTTCTCTTTATGATCAATGCTGGACCAAGTGTATTTTCTTCCAACCTGATCATATAAATTTTAGATCAGAAAAATATTTATAGCACAAAAAGAGAAGTCAGGGAGAGCTGTTGGACAGTAAATGATGTCCCAGTACCTCATTTAATCAAATTCATTGTACATTCCCTGTTCAACTTTGGTTCTAAGCATAGTTAGGCCCATGTCCTTGTAACCAAATAAAATGAAAATCAACCTGTTTTTAAAGAGATGTTGTTGAAAAACTATTGATGTAATGTAGGGTGATTAACATAACATAATAAAATTAAAAAAATAAAAAATAAAATAAAGAGATGTTGTTGAACTAATGAAAGCAATGCAAATAACTAGTTTGACAAAAACAAAAACCACACACACATACATAATGACCAGATGTCATCATTTGTGGGTAAAATATACAAATGCAAAAATGTACAAGGAAACAAAATATAATCTTTTGTCACTGAAGGCTGTGACTATTTAATTGGCTTTCATTAAACTGGTCACAGGGACATGTCAGCAAACTTTGGAAACTTTAAACAAACTGCATTTGTTATAAAACTATTAGAACTGACTTATCCATGCTGTTCAAACCTCTAAAACACACATTATGAATTATTTAATATACGCGTTTCTGTACTGTCCTATTCCTCAAAGCTTCAGGTGTTATAGTCTTTAGTAGTTAAGTTGTGAAACAGGTTTATTCATTAAGGTTACATTGTAGAAGTTATTCCTCTGGGATCTCACTTCAGAACAGATATTTTGTAATTATCAGGTATTACCTGTGTTTCCTTCAGTGAAGACCTCTCCTCTTCCCAAGCTGGACTTAGATAGCCAAAGAAAGTCAACATAAGATTACACCTTAAACATGTGTTATGAGCCAGGCAACATAAATGCATTTGTATCGCCATGCAATATAAAATGGGTATACTATTGTCTCTGATTTGCAGATGAGGTGCAGACAAGTTAAGTAACCTGCCCAACATCATACAGCTAGTAAGTGGCATAGTCCAGGTACAAACTCAGTAGATATGGTTCCCAATCCCATATTCTGATTTTAGGACTACAGAATTCGTCTCCTAACCCTTGTGTTGAAATTTCCTTATGTTGATGCTTAAGGAATCACAACACGTGCTTTTTTTTAAAGAAGAATATAAATATTAGATTTGTTCCTAAACCATCCAGGTTTTAGGACCATATATTATGTCTGTCATTTCTATAAAAATTTGGGAATCATTTGGGCCTTAATAGAAAACTTCTTTAAAGATTATGATTTATTTGGGAAGATGCAATTGTTGTAAATGTACTTAAAATTTATAACTATGAAAAAATATTGCAGCACATACATTTTTGTATGCAAAATTAAGATAATTTAATAAGGGGTGCCTTTGATTCATTAGTTATCAATTCAAACATGGTATTTTACATAAAGCAGTCTTTGGAAACAGGTAGCTATTTAGAACATTCTCAGAGTTGACCATAGTTGTTTATTTTTCTTGTTTTTTTTTCTTTTTCCCTCCTTTTGCATTTCTTAAAAAAAAAAAAATAAAGAGCGGAGTAGAAATATTGCATTATCCCCAATAAAATTTTCCCTGAGGTAAGGTTTAAATTAATCGGTATAAGATTCTTAACTCATGTTACAATGGCCTGCTCCTTTAAAGAACAGGCATAATTTCTGTTGTGTGTGGGATTTTCAGAGCATTTCTAATGAATTCAGAGCATCATCTAATCACAGAAAGAATACTTCTTTGCAATCAGGAGGTTGATGTTCTCTGGCTTCTGAAAATACCTAAACTTGCTTTGTTCATTTGTTTCCTATGTGGCACCTCCTTTTTGGCATATCCTGTTGGCATTATCCCTACAGAGAACTTCCTGGAAAGCAAATCATTTTGTTGTGATCGGAAATGCTTTTGTCTGGCTTCTAGGTCATGCTTTAAACTCAGAACACATGACAGAACTAAGCACACTATGTGAAAACGCCCAGTTATTGTACTCATGAGAGATCTTTTTGGTGTTTTTTGTTTGTTTTTAAATGATGCAAAGTACTCAAGTTGCAAGTAGGACTGTATTTTACATGAAAGTCCAGTGATGTTAATTTTTGGCCAGAACTTGGAGTAGCTGGGAAAAATATCAAGAAAAAAACAACTCTTATGAAAAGGTAAATTAGTTTTTGAAGATGGTGTTAATTGGCAGCCAAGGTGTTTCATTATGAAGCTGAATTTTTAACAGTTGTTAGTCGGTTACTATGAAAACACCAGCCAGAAGAAAACACTGTAGTGCAATGGGTATTTTTCTTCAATCTCTCCTAATCCTTCTGCCAACGTGTCAATAATATAAGGCTTGTTTTAAAACACCCATGCACTGCCTAGAAATTGCCTGTGTCGGCTGTTTATTCAAACTTATTTGTCGATTAGATGCATATTTCATAATCAACGGGTTCAGGGATGATCACTTTCAAACTGCAGGTGTTGTATTTTTCTATTTTGCAATTCTCTGTTTGAATGAAACCTTAAGAAAACCTTATTGGGAGAACTGTTTGTTGTTGTTGTTGTTTTTCTTTTGTAACCTAGAGCATAAAGCTAACCACGGGAAATATATAAATTGTAACTAGGGAGGTGATTCTTTTGGATGAAGCAATGAGAACTGTGACTTTTTATCTCTATGTGTACCTATTGCTGATTTTTTTTGAAAGGAAAAACACCTGAGGGCCACAAGTTGCAAGTTCCAAATGTTTATTCCCCTCTCTAATAGTACACAGCATGAAGAAGGTTTTTCTCCACATGTAACATATCCCAAGCCCCTGGGAGTATGTATGCTTTGATATTTTTCCCATTCTGACATTTTACCAGCTGGCTAAGAAAAAATAAATTGGTTTGCTTAGTGAGTCCTCAACCTATAGGCAACAAATTCTTGTATTGTCCTGTCTGTTGTCATCCCTTTAACCTCTGCTATATTCAGCATTTAGTTTTATGGTGATATATAGGGGGAAAAATCATTTTTGTGGGTGATATGATAAAAGTGTTGGTTTAAATTACTTGCCAACAGTTCTCCAGCCAAATAATTTAATTATGTGATTGTAGCCTTATTGAAGCCTTTGCTATTGATTCTATGAAGCAAGCATGGATCTATTTGTTGTCCTTCAAAACAAAAGCTGGTTTTTCTTTTGCCTTGCAGTCTCAGCTAGGGCTTTAACAGAACACAATAATGAATGCTTCTGCTGCAGCATGTCACAGGGGAGGCTGGGACAATACTGAACTCATGCACACTGCTGATCCTTGCTTGCTGAGCAACATGTACACCTGGATTTCTGACAGCTCTGTGAGTTCACTAGAGACCTCTGTCATTCTGTTCATCCTCTTGTAGGCGATGGTCGAGACAGTTAACAACCTCCTCCAGCCACAAGCCTCAAATGCGTGGAGAGACCTGACTATAAGCGATCAACTACGGGCAGCGACCATGTTGCTTGACACTGTGGAGGAAAGTGCTTTTGTGCTGGCTGATAACCTTTTGAAGACTGACATTGTCAGGGAGAACACAGACAATATTCGTAAGTGGCCTTGTTATACAGAAGGGCCAGAGACCCTTGGACAGCAGAAGAAAGAAAAGAAAAAAATTCTATGGTAGTGCAGATATTATGAGTGATTTTTATTTCAGTGGAGATGTGATTATTTTTTCTATAATTAGAAGGATATCACCTGCCATTGGCTAAAAAGCGTCCTTGTAATCCTGTGTGTTATCCTCCTTAGGATATTCAATATTGGATATGTTAGCCTGAGATCACTCACAGTGAGGTCCTTTAGTTAGTTAGTTAATTAGTTTTTTTATGTCTGTGTGTATCTATGTATGCACTGTACTATTTGAAATTTTATCCTCCTAACATAGTGCCTATGGTTCACATCAGTTAGAATAAGAATGGCTCTGGATGGAGCACTGGGTGTTATACGCAAACAATGAATCATGGAACACTACATCAAAAAATAATGATGTAGTGTATGGTGATTAACATAACATAATAAAATTAAATTAAAAAAAGAATGTCTCTGAATTATGTACTATAAAGAAATTAGTCATTTAGTGAAGGTGATAAAACAGTTTTTTGTAATTGTGTTATTGGCTTATAAGGACTATAAATCTATTTTGTTGTGCATAAGGATGTAGCTGACAGTTTTATTTCAGAAGATTTGATAAAGCTGTTTCAAACTAATTAGATTTAAAGATATATCAATATTGATATAATAGTGCAGCTTTAGATTATAAAGAGACTTTTACTTAATTCACAAAAGAAAATAATATTTTGAAGATAAAGGAAATGACAAAGTATAAGGATTTGAGCTTGAATTTTAAATCTGAGGCTTTATAATTGATGCATTTATGTTCTTATTTACCTGTTTAATAGTTTTTATTTGCTTTATTTAAAAAATAAAATACTAAAGAAATACTTTCGAAATAAAATATTGAACTACTATTCATTTTGACTACTATAAATTAATAGAAGTTAATTCCAGTGTTTTGATTTCAGAAATATTTCAGTGATTTAGGAAATCATCTTAGCTTTGGTGCATTTCTCAATGAGCACTGATAACTCTTTGCCATTAACAGAATTGGAAGTTGCAAGGCTGAGCACAGAAGGAAACTTAGAAGACCTAAAATTTCCGGAAAACATGGGTCACGGAAGCACTATCCAGCTTTCCGCAAATACTTTAAAACAAAATGGCCGAAACGGTAGGTTAGAGTTTATCTGGTAAGCGTGGTGAGATCGAGCTCATCATCAGTGCCTTGTTTCTTGGCTTGGGAGTTTAGCTCTGCTATCCAAAAGCCTCTTTCTCTCGTTCGACTATTTTCTCTCTCCTCTTTCACTTCCTTCTCTTTCCCGTCTTCTGCACCAACAACGTCACAATGAATTTGCTCTATAACATTCTCAGTCGGATTTGGAAATTGTTCTGTTACTTTTCAGTTGCAGTACAATGTCAGAAATTTGAATCTGAGAGGAATTAATGAACAACAAAATCCAGATATCTGATTTTTTTTCTTGAAAGGAGTAACTCTCACTGAGTTGACAGATTTAGTTTCTTTAATTTTTTTTTTTTAAAGATTTTATTCATTTGGCAGAGAGAGAGAGAGCAAGGGAAAGAGAGAGATAAAGAACACAAGCAGGGGGTGCGGCAGGCAGAGGGAGAGGGAGAGGCCGACTCCCCACCGAGCAAGGAGCCCAAGGCAGGACTTGATCCCAGGACCCTGGGATATGACCCAAGCCAAAGGCAGACGCTTAACCAACTGAGCCACCCAGGCGCCCCTGGTTTCTAAATTTTTTTATGGAAATGTTACTTCTAATTTTAAAATTGTAGATTTTTTTCCTTACTCACTATTTTTGAATGTGTTTCTGTGATTTTTCTTTGTAAAGCATATAGAAAATTTAAAATGTGAGGAGATGATTTGAGGAAAAGGAACTGGGTAATATAGGTCAGTTTGATACTAGATTAAATTCACTGACTATAATGAGAATTAACTAAACTCATAGTGAAAATATGTCTCAAGTGTCACCAGTATTAAATTTTTAAAAACATACTTTTTGCCAACTAAATGAGATCCTTTGACCTGTCAGGTGATGGGAAGATGGCCTCAGGTTGTCGCAACCAGCTCAAAGCTGGCGTTTCATAGTGCAGGGGGGCATAGCTTTATTTATTTTTATTTCTTTTTAAGATTTTATTTATTTATTTATTTGAGAGAGAGAAAGAGCATGAGAGGGGAGAGGGTCAGAGGGAGAAGCAGGCTCCCCGCCGAACCGGGAGCCTGACGCGGGACTCGATCCCAGGACTCCAGGACCATGACCCGAGCCGAAGGCAGTCGCCCAACCAACTGAGCCACCCAGGCGCCCGGGGGGCATAGTTTTAAACAAAGAAGAGCCTGTTGAATAATACCAAGACAAAACAAATTATGGCTGTTGTCAACAGAACAAAATTCTTTTTAAGTGTTGGAAATCTTTTAAGTGACCTTAAAAGTCATTATATCGCTAATTTGACTATGTGAATTTTGAGGCAGCAGTAAGATTTTCTACGAAGCAAAATCAGATTTCTGCATTAGCTTTCCAGCTGACTTCCCTCCCTCCACTCTTTCTCCCAATAGGATATCCTGTTGACAAACAGATCTTCCTGAAATGTAAATCTGACCAGTTCACTTGCAGTTTTACTCAGAATGAAATCAGAGGATTTCACTAGGCCACCATGTGCTTGTCCACTTCTTTCCTGCCCCATCTGCCCCGCTTCCTGTCTGTCTTTAGCATGCCCTATATGATCCAGACAGTCTAGTCTTGATTTTTTTTCTTTTTATTGAGATAGAAGTGACATAGAACTTTATACTAGTTTCAAGCATACAATATAATGATTTGATATTTATATATATTGTAAAATCATCACCACAATAAGTCTAGTTCACATTTATCAGCACATATAGTTTTATTTTTTCTTGTGATGAGACCTTTTAAGATCAACCTTCTTAGCAACTTTCAAAATATATAATACAGTATTATTAACTACAGTGACTGTGCTATATATTACATCCCCATGACATTTATTTTATAACTGGAAATTTATTGACCTTTTTTACCCATTTTGTCTATGCACCGCCCCCTGCCAGTGGCAAACACCAGTCTCTTCTCCATATCTATGAATTCAGTTTTTTTTATTTAATTTTTTAGGATTCCACATATAAGTGAGATCATACAATGCTTGTCTTTCCCTGTCCGACATATTCCGACTTAGCATAATGCCCTCAAGGTCCATTCATGTGATCATAAATGACAAGGTATCATTCTTTGTTAATGGTTGAGTAATATTCCATTTTCTTATCCATTCATTTATAAGGGGACACTTAGGTTGTTTACATGTCTTAGCTCTTGTAAATAATACTGCAATGAACATGGGTATGGAGATCTTTTTAATTTAGTGTTTTTGTTTCCTTCAGATAAAAACCCAGAAGTAGAATTACTGGATCATATCGTAGTTCCATTTTTAACTTTTGGGGGACCTCCATAGTGTTTTCCACAGTGGTATAACAATTTACATTTCCACCAACAGTGCATGAGGATTCTCTCTGGTCTGGTCTTGATTCTGTTCCTTGAATACACCAAGAGTGTTTCTTTATCAGATTTTTGCATTTTTGTTTTCTTCCTAGAATGCAGTTTTTACATTTCTTTACATTGAAGGTTCTCTATCATTCACTATTCAGTATAAATCTTACCTCTTTAGGAAGGGAAGTTTTTCTCTCTCTCCCTGAAGGTACACCATTCTTTCCTAATTGCTCTTTTCCTATTAGCCATTTTATACCAGTGCTTCTTCATGGAGGTTATTCACTTAACATTATATGAAATATTATTATTTTTTTAAATTGCCTGCTTATTATCTGACTTTCGGCTAGGTAGTAAGCTCATGAGAGCAGGGATCTTTTCTTACTTGTTCACTGATATAACCCTTGTGCCTAGCACATGGATAAACTTTCTAAGAATTTATCAAATAAATGTGTGAACTTTCAGATATAAAGCTAATAGCAATTAAAATATGATTATATTAGTTATATTATTTTTTTAAAAAGATTTTATTTATTTGAGAGACAGAGAGAGAGCACAAGCAGGTGGAGTGGCAGGCAGAGAGAGAAGAAGCAGGCTCCCAGCTGAGCAGGGAGCCCGATGCGGGGCTCGATCCCAGGACCCCGGGATCATAACCTGAGCTGAAGGCAGATGCTTAATGACTGAGCCACCCAGGTACCCCAGTCATATTATGTTTTGAACTTATTTATTTTACTTACTAAAGTAGTGTGTGGGAGGGGTGGGGGTAGTTTAGGTCACATTTAAGCATTCATTTTGGAGTGGAGAATATGTAACAATTATATGTGACTCCATGCATTGATAAAACAAGGGTAGGATATCAACATGACACTGCCCCATAGGTGGAAATTGGTAGGAATTATCAACCGGTTATCAACAAGTTAAAATAAAAGTTGTTACTGTCAACAAGGAAAAAAAAATGTTATTCTTAAGTTTAGCCTTCCAAAATTTAGTATTTTCATATTAAATCTAGAGAAAAGAACAAAAATTAAATGCAGTGTTGTAACAGACAAGAAATATATAGTGAATTACTGTTCTTTGCTCAGTACCATGTTAACGGATGTGGGGTGGAAGTTTAAGAATGCCCCTTTCCTTTACATAGCTCTTATCATAGTCTCTTTGCTAAATTCCTGAAAGGATAATGGATGTCTCATAGAATCACTGAGAAGGCTGGAGAATCGGGCCCAGAAAGTCTACAGGAGCTAGGAGGCTGACAGAAGCCTGTATCAACACACAGCATCATTGCGTGAGATGTCAGGGCTGCCGTAAGTGAGGGTGACTGCTGTCCCGCCCCCTGCTGTCACCAGCTCTTCACCTAAAGTCGAAGACAAGGGCATCTGTTGGGAGGCTTCGAGCTCAGGTGCCCAGAGCAAGACAGGCTGGGAAAGCAAATGTACATCCATTTTGTGTCTATAAATCCCTAATAGTAGGGAATTTTCCAAACATGGGAGCACAGTTTAGATGTTGGGACAGTCCCTGCCCTCTGCAAAAGAAATCTATTAAAATTTCCTTCTTTTTATTCCCACTTGACCCTAAGATTCAGGAATAAGGATTGAGACTTCCTCAGCTTAGTCACCATGATAGTCAGGATCACACCTATCTCTTAGTGAACCAATATGATTTCATACTGGAAGTTAAGACATACGGCTTGATGTATTTTAAGAAAGAAAATGATATGATCAAGAACATGACACCTGGGTGGCTCAGTCACTTAAGCATCTGCCTTCGACTCAGGTCACGATCCCAGGACCTGGAGTCCAACCCCACATCAGGCTCCCTGCTCAGCCTGGGGGGGGGGGGGAGGGGGCGGGTCTGCTCCTCCTTTTCCCTCTGCCCTTCCTCCCCATGTTAAAAGAAGGTTAATTTTACAGAAGATTGCAGGTAGGAGATAGTCATAAGAGAAAAAAATAAGGTGGAAAGATGTATGGAGGAAGTGACTTTCGAGGAATATGGTAATTGAGTTTGAAGACAGATAAGGGTTTTGAATCCCTGTTGTTTTCATTGCAATTGAGATATAATTTACATAGAATAAAATGCACATCCCTTAAGAATGTAACTTGACGAGTTTGACAGTTGTACGTTCCTCTGTAATATTACATAAAATAAGACAGAAATCTCTATTACCCAGAAATTGTTAACCCTTTCCAGTCTTCTTACCTCCTCTCCCCATCTGATGAAACTACTCTCATTATTATCTCCATAGACAAATTTTGCCTGTTCTTAGACTTCAGACAACCGGAATCATGTAGTATGTGTTTTTTTCTGTCTGTATTCTTTAACCAAACACAGTATTTTTGGGATTCCATCATCATGCTCTAATAGTAGCTTCTTTGCTCTATCAGTAGTTCTTTATTGATGCACAGGCTATTCCATTATATTCATATGCCCTAATTTATTTGTCTGTTCATAGATTTTTTTAGTTGTTTCTATTTGGAAGATATTATAAGGATGCTATTAATCTTATACAAGTTTTTTTTTTCCTTTGTAGATATATATTTTCATTTATCTAGGAAGGGTAGATATGTTTAACTTCACACACAAAAAAGTCACCATTTCTCCACATAGTTGAACTACTTCACATTTCCACCAGCAGTGTGCAGGACCTCCAGCTGTCCCTCATCTTTATCAATATCAGCATGACCAGTCATTTTGATTTTAGAAATTCTAGTGGGTATGAGATGGTATCTCGATGTGATTTTTCATTTTTATTTCCATAAGTATTAATGATGCTGATAATTTTTCATGTTTCTATTAGCCTTTCACATATCTTTTTTTCTAAAGTATGTGTTTATGTCTTTTGCCATTTTCATGTGTTATTTATTCTTTTTTGGTTGATTAGCAGAAATGCTATATATAGTCAGAAGTTTCATATTATTATTGTTAATATGCTGTATTTTGATACACACATTTTTAATTTTGATAAAGTGCAGTTTGCCATTTTTTTTATGGTTAATGTCTTTTGGACCCTATTCAAGTCATCCTTGCCTCCTCCAAGATCACAAAGATCCTATATTTTGTTCTAGAAACTTTATGGTTCTGGCTTTTATGTTAGGTCTATGATCTGTCTTTAAGTTTTGAGTACAGAGTGATATAGGAATTGACATTCATTTTTTAAAATACCGATAGTTTTTTCAGCATCATTTGACATTCCTTTTCTCGTAAATATCTTGGCACTTTGGTTAAAATGAATGCTTAATTTTGTTGAGGATATATACCGTATGGATTTGATTATAATTTAATTAGAGCTATCTAAATTAGGTGGAATGTACAAAGTAATGTACAAAGTTTCTTCCCAACTTATAATTCACATTTACATTTATTTCAGGAGAGATCAGAGTAGCCTTTGTCCTATACAACAACTTGGGTCCTTATTTGTCCACGGAGAATGCCAGCATGAAGTTGGGAACAGAGGCTTTGTCCACCAATCATTCTGTTATCGTCAATTCCCCTGTTATTACAGCAGCAATAAACAAAGAGTTCAGCAATAAGGTTTATTTAGCTGATCCTGTGGTGTTCACTGTTAAACATATTAAGGTAAGAAAATGCCATGATAAGTTTGGTTATCCACATTATCTATATTTGTTACAGCATAAACATGGAATATATTAATTTTCCTTTAATTTTTTCCTACTATTTGACAGATAGCAATTCATTACCTATAAAATTATAGTGGTGATTTTTTTTCTAAAATGTGGGAGGAGAATACTTCTTGAATATGTAAATACTTCCGATAAGAATATTTGTAGATGGATTTATAAATGTGTCTCCATAATTAAAAAGAGTTAGCAACATAGTGGAATTGGAAATGGCTTCACATGTGATATCACAAGAAATTATGTCTTTGTGAGTAGATATATTTTTATGTATGTAAAAAGATTGTATTATAAATTGAACAAAGATTTCTAAAGACTATCTCAGAAATTGTTTAGAGTAATTAAATTCTTTATGATGTACTTACTTTGAAATTAGTTGGTCATTCTGAGTCACTGATACTAGTATTCCATTAATACTAGTTTTTAAAAAATAAACTCACCTCTAATCAGAGGAAATAAACAACAATATATATTCAAATTTGCTTAGGCTTGATGAAGCCCACTTAATACGAAAACACTGGTATACATCTCCTCAAAAGTTGGAACAGAGTATGAAGTGTGTTAGATGTAAAGAAAATGCCTATCTAATTTACGTGATCATAAAGTAGTTATTGACTTTATTGATTTTCTTTTCCCCATAGCAGTCCGAGGAGAATTTCAACCCTAACTGTTCATTTTGGAGCTATTCCAAGCGCACAATGACAGGTTATTGGTCAACACAAGGCTGCCGGCTGCTGACAACAAATAAGACACACACTACATGCTCTTGCAATCACCTAACCAATTTTGCAGTACTGATGGCACATGTGGAAGTTAAGGTAAGATATATACCATAAAATAAAGATATCTAAGCATATGGCAGGATATTACTATAAAAAGTCCTAAGTCCATAGGCCAGTCTTACTTTAAAGGTTTTCCACTTTCCTAGTAATTTTGTTTGGAAACTCTCTAGGGTTCAACCCATACCTTCCTGGATGATTCAAAGAAAGGTTTTTTTGTTCTGTTAGCAACACAGTTTATGAAATTGCAGTTCACTTATAAAATAAAATTGTTCTTATAAAAATTCCCCTTAGTGGGAACCCTCCTACACTGTTGGTGGGAATGCAAGCTGGTGCAGCCACTCTGGAAAACAGTATGGAGGTTCCTCAAAAATTTGAAAATAGAGCTACCATCTGACCTAGCAATTGCACTACTGGGTATTTACCCCAAAGATACAAATGTAGTGATCCGAAGGGGTATGTGCACCCCAATGTTTATAGCAGCAATGTCCACAATAGCCAAACTGGAAAGAGCCAAGCTGTCCATCAACAGATGAATGGATAAAGAAGAAGTGGTATATATATATACAATGGAATATTATGCAGCCATCAAAA